GCATCTATCACCGCGGACGTTGGGAGCACACTCTCTGGATGTAGTGGGGTTGGGTCAGGAGCTGTTCCCACGGGACGACCCCAACCAAGAGACCGCCGCCTCCCGACGCTGGCCATCGGCCCTCAGTTATAGCGACATGGAGCTACGTGCGAGCGCCGCTCCCGCACCTGCCCTGTTGAGAGACTGTCCGTAGACTACTACTACGAGAGCTGACGTCCGGCCCGGTGAGCCGGGTCGGCTGACCGCGGTGTAACCGTGCCGATGACTTCGTGAGAACAGAACATGGGTGCGTACCTCAAGTTCCTGTCCGCGCACCGCCGACGACGCTGACGTGCGACGTTGTCGGTGGTGGTGCGAGTTGTTAACTAAACGGGACGCGCCGACAACACACGCTGCGGGGGGCCGCGCATCGTGCTGGAGGCCGACCGCGTTACTACCCTGTTCGCGCCAACGCTGGCGGAGGACCTGCTGTCGAGACAGGACTCACGCGACGATGCCATCCGTGCCGCCGTCGACACCGTGCCCGGGCCGCCGATCGCCACGCCAAAGACTGGACGATATTACGCGGGCGCGGCCCGGCCGGTAGACAAGCGGGAAAGTGAGCAGCGTGTTCGTACGCGTGTGCGCTGATGCGCAGGCGCTGCGGTCGAGCCCGATTCGTGGGGCGACTGCGACGTGAGGCTGCAGACACCTGCGTCGGCCATGTGCTGCAGGGGTTAGCCCGAGACATGGTCCGCAACTGATGGACGTTCCCACGGCGGCCCTGTGGGAGTACCGAGCGCTGGTCGACACTGCGCGGAGAAGGCGACTGGGATGCTAGCGCGGGAGCGCTCGTCTGAGGGGAGCGCGCTGGGCTCCGATGACGTCTGACTCTCACGGGGGACGGTCACGGTGGAAGACACAGCACCCCGATTTCGGGACGCGCCCGTTTTCTCGTGGAGGCCAGCGACCGGCGAGTCGGCGGCGGCGTCAGGACCACGATGGCGCTTCAGCTCACCGAGAGGCCGTCTGGTGAAACAGAGGTTAATATAGAGACCGATACCACATTCATGGGCAAGCTTGGTGAGCTTGGCCAGCCAGTCATCCGCCGCAAGGCCCAGTCCACCATCGAGGGGTTCGCAAAAAATCTCGCCCGCGAACTGGAGGGACGAGGTTAGCGCGGCTCGATGGCGACCAGCTGGCAACAACACGACAGGATGGTTGTGGCCAGCGCTCCTGAACACAATAGCACCGAGCCGGACCCGGGCGACAAAGATTGGATACGGGGAAGAACCGACTTGGAATTAAGGGCAAAGGGTAATCCCACATTCAACCATCGGGGGACGCCGTGTGCGGCATAGTGGCATACGTTGGCCAGGATGAGGCCTGGCCCATCATTTACGAGGAACTGAAGCGCCTGGAGTACCGGGGCTACGACAGCGCCGGAATCGCGGTTGTAGACGACACCGGGGCGCTCCACCTGCGAAAGACCGTGGGCAAGGTAAGCGGCCTGGCGGTCGAGATCAATGGCTCCGCGCCCCGAGGATCGTTGGGACTCGGACACACGCGTTGGGCCACCCACGGGGCGCCGTCCCACGACAACGCCCACCCGCACATCGACTGCAGCAGCCGCGTGGCCCTGGTGCACAACGGCATCGTGGAGAATTACCTGGAGCTCAAGCGGCGTCTAACCGCCTCCGGGCACATTTTCAAGTCGGAGACCGACACTGAAGCCCTTTCGCACCTGGTTGAGGAGGGTATGTCGCTCGGCCTCAGTTTCGAGGAGTCCTTCCGGCGGATGGGCCGGCTGGTGCAGGGGTCTTCAGCCATTACCGCCACCCTGGATGGGGAGGACGGCCCAATCTGCGCCATGCGACTGGGCTTCGCGGGCGGGATCGTGGTCGCCCACCACAACGGGCAGGGCATCGTGGCCAGCGATCTGCCCGCTCTTCTGCCGGTACTGGAACGCGGAGCCGGAGCGCCGAACGTCGGGTTCCTGGAAGGCGGTGAAATGGCGATCGTCAGCCGTGAGGGCGTTCGCTATTCCGACTTGTCGGGGAATCCTGTCGTCAAGGAGACCCGGCGCGTTTCCCGAGAAGACATCGTGGTGGACAAGGGCGGTCACCGGCATTTCATGCTCAAGGAAATCATGGACCAGCCCCAGGCGATGACCGCTGCCCTGAAGGACCGGGCCGACTTCGCCAACGGGAGGGTCAATCTTCCCGAATTCCCTCTGTCGCCCGCGGATGTCATGCAGCTCGAGCGGGTGGTGCTCATCGGCTGCGGCACGAGCCTGCACGCCGCCCAGGTGGGGAGACATTACATCGAGCGGCTGGCCGGTATCCCAGCGGAAGCCGAAAGCGCGTCGGAGTTTCGATATCGCGACCCCATTATCGGACCGCGAACGCTGGTGGTCTCCATCGGCCAGTCGGGTGAAACAGCCGATACTGTTGCCGCCATGCACCTCGCCCGCGAAAAGGGCGCCACCCTGATCACCATCTGCAACGCCGAGGAGAGCCAGGCCGCCAGGGTCGCCGACGGCGCCCTGTACATGCACGCCGGCCTTGAGGTTGGGGTTGCCAGCACCAAGACTTTCGTGGCATCTCTAACCATCCTGCAATTGCTGTCGGTATACCTGGGTCAGCTCCGCGGAAAGCTCGATGCCGAGACGACCCGCCGGCTCGTGGACCAGATGGCCCGCGGCCCCGGCTTGATCGGCGAGGTATTGGCCGAGGCGAACCTCTACAGCAGTCTTGCCCGCCGCATAGGACACTACGATAACTTCCTGTTCCTGGGGCGCGGGGCCAACGCAGCCATCGCCTCCGAGGGGGCTCTCAAGCTGAAGGAAATCAGCTACATCCACGCCGAGGGCTATCCGGCCGGTGAGATGAAGCACGGCCCCATCGCCCTTATCGATCCAGAAATGTGCACGGTGGCGCTGGCGCCCAGGGACGATTTGCGCGACAAGACACTGAGCAACATCAAGGAGGTCAAGGCGCGTGGAGGCCTGGTCGTAGCCGTTCTCACCAAGGGCGACGACGAGGCGGCGTCGGAGGTCGATTTTCCGCTGTTCATACCGCAGGCACCAGACCTACTTATGCCCCTAGTTACCACGGTCCCGTTGCAGTTGCTCTCGTACTACATAGCCCTGCTGCGCGGCTGCGACGTGGACCAGCCCCGCAACCTGGCCAAGTCCGTTACAGTTGAATAAGCGACATTCCTCACACGTCCCCGGCGCCTCCTATCGCAGAGCCGGGTGCCGGGCGCCGGTGAATCCTTGGCGAAGGGTGCGGGAAGCTCTTGCACCAGACCCCATCAAAGTGAAAAGATAGAGGCGACCCGGGCGATTGCGCCCCAGACGGTCTGGCCGCGAATTGCGTGCAGACCTTCGGGGCGCTCAATTTGGCTTAGGAACTGAGTAGATGTATCTCAAGCTCGACCATCCTCCCGTATCTCTCGACGACTACCTGGCCTACATGGACCCCGGGCAAGCCGAGGAACTGGTGTCTCTCGCCGCAGAAATGCGCGGCCTGCGCATGGTCCACCTCAACAGCACCGCCACCGGCGGGGGGTGTGGCGGAGATTCTGCAGTCCATGGTGCCCCTGTTCAACGCCCTCGGCATCTCCACCGAGCGCATCGTTATCAACCCGACAGCGCCCGAATTTTTCCAAGCGACAAAGAAGATTCACAACCTACTGCAGGGCGCAGAAGGCACCCTTACGGAACACGAACTCGAGGTCTATCACGACAACATCCGGATGGTCGCCGAGGCCATGAGCCAGGACTCGGTTTCCGCCGATATCTGGTTCCTCCACGACCCACAGCTACTGCCCTTGGCCGGCCTGCTCCGCCACAACGGCTCGGCCAACGCAAAGGCCTGGTTCTGGATTTGCCACATCGATCTCACCCATCCCAATGAGAATGCACTGGAATCGCTGTTGCCGTTGCACTACGACTACGACCACTTGATATTCTCGCTGGAGGAATACGTACCTCGCCACATGCTGAACGGTACTCCGGTGTCCATCGCTCCTCCCGCGATCGATCCGCTCACCGGCAAGAATCAGCCTCTGCGCGAGAGCGAGGCGTGGGATATCGTTTCGGCTATGGGCATAGACCGCGCCCGCCCCCTGATCACACAGGTGTCGCGCTTTGACCTCTGGAAGGACCCGTGGGGCGTTATCGACGCCTACCGGATGGCCCGCCACTCGATACCTGGCCTGCAGCTGGCGCTTCTCGGCCTCTCGCAGGCCGCGGACGATCCTGAGGCTCTGGAAGTAGTGAACAGCGTGGCGTCCCACGCTGCGGGCGACCCGGACATTCACCTCTACCACGATCCCTCCGGCCTGCCCGCGAGCATCGACGGGATGGTCAACGCATTCCAGGTGGCTTCGTCGGTCCTGATGCAAAAGTCCACTCGCGAGGGCTTTGGCCTCACTGTTACAGAGGGCATGTGGAAGGGCAAGCCCATGATTGGCGGCGACGCCGGCGGCATCCGCCTGCAGATCGAGGACGGCGTCAGCGGATACCTCGTCTCGTCTCCCAAGGAATGTGCGGACCGCATCGTTTCCCTGATGACAGACGACGCATTGGCCGGCAACATCGGTACCGCTGCGCACGACAGTGTCATGCGCAGCTTCCTGCTGCCCCGCCTGGCCCTTGACTACCTGAAGGTGGCGAAAGAGCACGCAAGCTGAGCTGGCATAGCCGTCTGCTAGAATGAGAAGGCGGCAATGCGATGCATGGAGGCGCAATACTGCGTGTCCTCCAATGCGACTGCTTTGCAGCGCGCCCCCCTTGGATCTTGATTGAGGATCCCTGCAAGCCTTGATATCCGGCTGGCACAGACGACTGATTGGTTGACGCTGTGAATACACCCATCATTGTTGTTTTGATCGACGGGCTGGACCCGGAGTATCTGGACGCCTGTCCCGCGCCCAACCTTGCGGCCATGGCGCAGCGAGGGTTCCGGGTCAACGGCAACGGTATGACCCCCAGCGTCACCAACGTCAACAACGTTTCGCTGGTGACGGGCAGCTATCCGGAGACGCACGGCATCACCTCTAACTATCTGCTCGACCGGCAGCTCGGCGAAGAGTTCTACATGGAGTCCGCCGAATTTCTGCGGGCCGAAACCATGTTCCAGCGAGCAACAGCCTGTGGCCTGCGTTCCCTGCTCGTAACTGCCAAGGACAAGCTGCGTCGGTTGCTCAGCGACGGGGCCACGGTCAGCATTTCATCCGAGGACCCTCCCGGCTGGGTGGTATCGGGTGTGGGTGAGCCGCCGCCCATCTACTCTCTGGAGGTCAATCGCTGGGTGCTTGATGCCGGGCGGTACGCCATGTCCCAGGAACCCTTCGACCTCGTCTACCTGACCACCACCGACTACGCCATGCATACCTACGCTCCCAACGACCCCGAGTCGGCCCGCCACGTAACGTTGCTGGACGAGGGGCTCGGCGCGGTACTGGAGCAGGCTCCCGGTGCGCGAATGCTCGTTACCGCCGACCACGGCATGTCCGACAAGACTCGAATGCTGCACCTGCCCGCGGAACTGGGCCGCTACGGTATCAGCGCAAGGGCCATTCCCGTGATCAAAGACCGCTACGTCGTTCATCACTCCAATCTTGGCGGCAGCATCTACGTTCACCTGGACGAATCGTCCGATCTCAACGCCGCCCTGGACACGCTGCGAAACCTCGACGGCGTGGAGGACGCAGTATCCGGAGAGGAAGCGGCGGCGCGGTTTCATCTAATGCAGGAGCGTGTCGGCGACATCTTCGTTCTTGCCGACCCCAGCACCGTATTCGGAGACCCGTCCGAGGTGGCAATGCCTGCCGGACTCCGCTCCCACGGCTCGGCCCATGAGACCACCGTGCCGATATTCGGCTGTGGCCCCGGCCTGGACACGAGCACTGCCGCCCGTTTCCGGCAGAACCTGGATGTAGGCCGCTACGTTTTCGAGGATGTGCTCCCGCCGCGTCCCGACGGACTGCTTTCATGAACCAGCCAACCAGTCCGGCGGACGCCATCCGCATCGCCGCCCCCGCGACAACTGCCAACCTCGGACCTGGCTACGACTGCCTCGGCATGGCGCTGGACATCTGGAACACCATCGAGGTCGAACTGCTCCCCAATAGCGCTGGCCCTTCGGTGACTGTCTCCGGCGAGGGTGCGGGCGAGCTGCAGGCCGGGCCGGAGAATCTCGTCTACCGTTCCATGGAGTTCCTGTACCACGAGCTTGGTCAGACGATGCCCCCGGTCAGCGTAAGCTGCAAGAATGAAATACCGCTGGCCCGGGGATTGGGCAGCAGCGCCGCCGCCATCTCGGGGGGACTTGCCGCAGCCAATGCCCTGTCAGGGGGCGAGTTCAGTTCCCGGGACCTGCTGGAAATGGCCGCCACCATTGAGGGCCATCCCGACAATGTTGCCGCCGCCGTTATGGGCGGCCTGCAGCTCGTAGTTACCGAGGAAAGCACCCTGTACACGGTGCCGGTCAGCATTCCCGCAGAGATTCACGCCGTGCTGTTCATCCCTGAAGTTCGCATTGCCACAGCCGACGCCCGAGCTGTGCTGCCTCAGCAGCTTTCGGTGCCCGACGCTGTGCACAACATGGCCCGGGTGGCGCTGCTGGTGGCCGGCATGGCCACCAATCATCCTGAATATCTCGAAGTGGCAACCCAGGACAAACTCCACCAGCCCTATCGCCAGCCGCTGTTCCCGGCCATGAAGCTGCTGATGAAGGCCGCCCGTGATGCCGGCGCCCTCGGCGCATTCCTCTCCGGCAGCGGCTCAACCGTGCTGGCGCTGACCAAGGGCCGTGAGATGACCGTTGCATACGAGATGGCCGAAGCCGCCCGCCAGACCGCCGTCGAAGGCACCGTCAAGGTAACCCAGCCGACCTCGCTTGGCGCGCATCTGTTATCGTAGAAGTATGCGGCGGACGGGGCGGCCCGCTGCTGGGTCCAACCCCGACATCACCCGAGTCTTGTGAGACAAGCCCGATGCCCCTGATTGTTCAGAAATATGGCGGTTCCTCGGTGGCCGATGCCGAGAGGATAATAAACGTGGCAAAACGCATCGGCGCAGTGCAGAAGTCGGGCGCCGCGGTGGTGGTCGTTGTTTCGGCTATGGGCGACACCACCGACGAGCTCATCGAACTGGCCCACACCATTTCCCACGAGCCGCACGCCCGCGAAATGGACCTGCTTCTCTCCACTGGCGAGCTTGTGTCCTCCACTCTCCTGACCATGGCGCTCAGAGAGCTGGGCCACGAAGCGATCAGCCTCAGCGGACCCCAGGCCGGCATCCGCACAGACACCAGTTTCGGCCGGGCCCGCATCAGCCGCATTGAGCCGGCTCGCGTGCGCCGCGAGCTCGATGCCGGGCGCATCGTGGTCGTTGCAGGGTTCCAGGGCATCACGGCCGAAGACGATATCACCACGCTGGGCCGGGGAGGGTCCGACACCACCGCCGTAGCCATTGCCGCCGCCCTGCAGGCCGACCGGTGCGAAATCTACACCGACGTTGAGGGCATCTACACCGCCGACCCTCGCATCGTTTCCGGGGCCCGCAAGATTGACGAGGTCGGCTACGAGGAGATGCTGGAGCTGGCCAGCCTGGGCGCCAAGATGCACCCTCGGTCCATCGAGCTGGGCGGCGTCTACCGCGTGCCCATCTACGTTGCCTCCAGCTTCAGCGATACCCCCGGCACCCTTATCCACGCCGTTGGCAACGGACCCGCCGACGCCTTCGCAGCCGGGCTCCCCACCGCCGCAAAGCCCGAGCCCGAACACATCACCGCTATCAGCCCATCCGCCGAATTTCAGACCGGGAATCAGATGGAAGACAGAATCAAAGTCACCGGCATAGCCTACAACGCCAACGTCGCCAAGATCACGGTGCAGAGCGTACCCGACCGCCCCGGCCTGGCCGCCGCGCTGTTCGAGCCATTGGCCGAGGCCAGCATCAGCGTGGACACCATCGTCCAAAACACCGGCGGAGACAAGTCCACCGACATCAGCTTCACTGTCAGCCGCACCGACCTGCCCGCCGCCGTGCGTCTCGTTGAGGGTATGGCCCAACAGCTGGGAGCAGCGGGAGTCGTCAGCTCTGCCGGACTGGCCGCGGTAAGCATCGTGGGCTCCGGTATGCAGAACACGCCCGGTTACGCCTCGCGGATGTTCCGCTTGCTGGCCAACGGTGGCGTCAATATCGACATGATCACCACCTCGGAAATACGCATATCCTGTATAATCGACGAGTCGCAGGGACGAGACGCAGTGCGCTTGCTGCACGAGGGCTTCCAGCTGGATCGTAGCTGAACCGCCGCTCCTGGCCGGCATCCGGTGGACGCAGGGCGGTTGGTCAGCAGCGACACCGGCGTGGTCGGAAAACCCGCTTGTTCCAGTTTTGTCCCCTCATGATTATGTCCTCCAGTTTCCAGGAGTGATGTCCCCATTTCGCACTCCGCTCCGCAAACTCCCACACCCCTCTACTTGTCCGTTGTCATCCCCGCCTACAACGAAGAACTCCGCATATCCCAGACTGTCAGGGAAATCATTGCCTACCTTGTTGCGCAGGACTACGAGTGGGAGATAGTCGTCGCGGACGACGGCAGCACCGATGCCACCGCCCGGTTGGTCTACAAGGCCGCCGAGGGCGATTCCAGGATTCGAGTGCTGCCCCTGCCCCATGGAGGCAAGGGATGGGCGGTCCGAAACGGGATGCTTGCCGCCAGCGGCGAATTCCGTCTCTTGTGCGACGCCGACCTGTCGGTTCCCATAGCGCAGGTTGAGCGGCTGCTGCCCCCATGCTGCGAAGACACCGACATCGCCGTGGGATCGCGGGAGGCACCTGGAGCGGCACGCTACGGCGAGCCGGGCCGGCGGCACCTTATGGGGCGGGTATTCAACTCAATCACCCGCCGACTAGCGTCGCTTGAGTTGGCCGACACCCAGTGCGGATTCAAGTGTTTCAGGGGCAATGCCGCGGTGCATTTGTTTGACCGTGCCACAATGAACGGCTTCTCTTACGACGTCGAAGTGCTCCATCTCGCACGCCTTCATGGCCTGACGATAGCCGAAATCGGTGTCGACTGGCATTATCGGGAACACAGCAAGGTCAGGCCCCTCCGTGACGCCTTTTCGATGACACTTGATTTGTTGCGCATCAGGTGGCGGCACCGGAACGGTTCCCGTCGATAAATTTCGAAATTCGTACCCCACACAATTTCACGAAATTCCTTCATAATTTCCTCATATGCAGGTTGATAATACTATTGACCGCCACCTAGCAGCGGGTGTATCAGTAGATTATCGAAGAAATTATTCAGCCACCCGCGAGGGGTCCGGCAAGTGCTGTCGCCCGGGGGGAGACGGCATTGATAGCCCGATCAAGCGCATCGGGCGATGCAGGAAACGGAAGGAGAAAATGAGCTCGGAAATTGCCGCCACCGCTAAGGGGGCAAGCTTCAAGAAGGATCTGGACCGGGAGGCCGTCGCCTTGGCCATGAGGGGCGAATGGGAACGTGCCGCCGAAGTGAACCGCGCCATTCTGGAGCTGTTCGCCAACGACGTCGAGGCCATGAACCGCCTTACCAAGGCACTCATCGAATTGGGCAGTTATGATGAGGCCCACACCGTGGTTGACCGCGTCGGCCAAGTCGCGCCCAACAACAACATAGCCCGCAAGAACCGCGCCCGCCTGGACCAGATGCGCAGCAGTTCGGCCGCCACCACCCGGCACGCCCGCCGGGCCGCCGGCGCGCCACAGCTGTTCATCGGCGAAAGTGGCAAATCGGCGACCACGACTTTGCTGCACACCCCGCGCAACCTGTCGTCGGCCCTGGTTTCCCCTGGCGACCCCGTGCGGCTGGTGATTGAGCACCATGCGATCAGCGTTTACACCGAAGACGGCGAGTTCCTGGGACAGGTGGACCCGCACATCGGCCACCGCCTCAGCCGCCTGATCGAGGGTGGCAACACCTACGCTGCCGCCATACTGGCTGCTGGTGAAGGCAGCATCAGCATAGTGATCCACGAAAAGTCGCGGCACCGCAGCCTGCAGAACGTCGCGTCATTCCCGACCCGGACCGCGCAAGCTCGCCCTGGCCGTGAGGGAGTAGTCGCTGAGCGTCTCATCGCTGACGACGATACAGCCGACGACGAAGATGAAGAGGGCCTTATAGACGAGGAAGAGCTTCAGGTAGCCTGGAGCGAAACCGAGTAAGACCCAAGGGTATACCTATTGGGCATTGCGGGGCTCACGCTGAGCCTGAAATCACAGGGGCGCACAAAGCAGTGCGCCCCCTTTTTCATGCTTTGGAATAAGCCGGACCAACAGCATCGCCCTCTTGCTCACCGGCGGCAATCACCCACATCTTTCCCGCTGGCAAGTGACGAATCGCCAAACCGGTCCATTGCAGTCGCGGTATTGCCGGCAAAGCGCGCCTGTGGGGCAGGAGAGGGGAGCGCGCGGGTCGCTACACCATGAATACGGGGTGATCGTCCCGGTTGACCCGGGTTTCGCCCTCAATACCTTCACGCAGGAACTTTGGCAGGGCGAACATTCCCCGGTGGGTTTCCCCCGTCGTAGTGCCGAAGCGGCTTGCTGATCCGCCCGGCGATGGCCGCATCGAGCCCAGGCTCCGGCTGGTGTTGTAGAGGAGCATCAGAGGCGATGGTGAATCCCCACAGCGTCTGGAAGGCGGGCACATGCACCTGCGCCGCCGCCGCGTGGGTGAATACCTCGCTCAGGGTGTGGAAGATGGTGGTGAAACATTCCCGGTGGTTGGGCAGCCCTGCCGGTCCAGACTGCGTCACAAGCACTCCGCCTGGATTCAGCCGCGCCTTTGCGATGCGGTAGAACTCGTCGGTGTATAGCAGGTACGCGGTTCCTTCCTCCAAGGGGTCGACCAGGTCCAGGACAATCACATCGAAGCCGTCGCCACCGGACTGCAAGAACGCCCGGGCGTCTTCGTGGCGCAGGGTCACACGCGGATCATCGAAGCTGCCCCGGTGATGGTTGGGCAGGTGGGCCCGGCAGAGCTCCACGACCTCGCGGTCCAGATCGATCATCGTGGCGCTTTCCACTGACCGGTGGGCCAGTACTTCGCGCAGAGTGCCGCCTTCCCCTCCTCCGCCGATGAAAACGGACTTGGGATCAGGGTGAAACAGCATCGCCGGATGCACCAGCGATTCGTGATAGATGAACTCGTCCACCTCCGTCGACTGCGTCTTCCCGTCAAGCACCAGGCTGCGTCCGAATACCTCGGAATCCAGGACCTCCACCTTCTGATAGGCGGTGGCTCCGGAAAAAAGGACAGCTCTCAACCGCAGTAACACGGCGAGATCGGGGGAGACACTCTCGGCGAACCAGTTACCGGTAAGTTCCATTGGCAGGGACTCAGCCCGTGACAGGCTGAGCTACCAGTCCCCGTTCAATTTCCTTGAACTCAGCGTCCCGGCACTCAAGCTGTTCAGCCAAGCGACGGGCCGCGTCCGTTACGGAAAACGACGAGCCGCAGGTGAATATATCCGCAGCAGCATAGCCATATTCCGGCCAGGTGTGAATGGAAATATGGGACTCTGCGATAGCCAGGATTCCGGTAACGCCCTGCGGGCTGAAATGGTGGAAGGATTCTCCGACGACTGTGGCGCCTACGTCATTGGCGGCCGTCAGCATCGCCTGACGTATGTAGTTGAGGTCGTTTAGCAGTGTGGGATTACAATCCCTCAGTTCCAGCAAAACGTGACTACCTAGAACGGTCAATCCACAGGCCCTCCCTTTCTGTCATTGATAGAAGTCGCTTCTGTGGGGTCTGGTGTTGAGCGACAGTTTGTAATTCTATATGGGCCGCAAGCTGTATTCAACTGTTTTTATGTCTACTATCCCTGAGATAGCTCCGACAAATGCCTGCCGGGACGGTTTACACCCCGTCCCGGCAGACTATCAGATGCCCTTATCCCGTTTATAGCGTCCAACCCCATTGCAGTAGATATTTGAAGGATACCGTAACCGCACTTACGGCTGGATCAGTACTCGCACCGCGCCGTCCGGGTCCTTGCGCTGGGTCAGGAGGCGGTGGCCGGCCTGCTCTGCCCACAGCGTCACGTCGTAGATGTTGAGCGCGTCGGCCAGGATAGCTTCCACGAACGACTCCCGGTCCTGCTCCATCTGGTGTGTCAGGGCGGCAATGACGCCGGCGCAACTCTTGCCGCGCCCATCAATCACCACCCAGCCGTTGGCGGAGGTAACCGCCGGGGCGTCAGCGTGGACCGCGATTTTCGCCGGTCTTGCGCATGTCGAGCTGCCGCTTGAACTCGGCCACCGCCTCCCAGGCCACCGCCCGGCCGCGGTCTCCGGAGGCGCAGACCGCCCCTCGCACTCCGACGATGTCCGGGTTGATGCGGGCCAGCTCGTCAAGGTCGCTGATCTTCAGGTGCCCGGACAGAGCAGTGCTCATGCCCAGCTGCTTGCCCTCCAGCACAATCTGCCTCAGCACCGGCTCGGGCATGAAATCGAACAGGTTGCGCCCGTCCTTGGTCAGGGTATCGATCAGGAACCCGTCGCACCCACCATCCTTGGCAAGCTGCACCATCAGGTGCGGGTCCAACCCGCCCTCGTACAGCACATTGTCGGCAAACAGGGAGCCGACCAGCTTGGTGTTGAACCCGTCCAGCGCCCGGCGCGACTCCAGCAGCACCTCTGCGGCGGTGTCGTAGTCAGCGACACGGAACCCCACCTTGACCGAGGTGGCATCCATCATGCCTGCGGCATACACCGCCATCGCCACGGTCCCTGCCTGGTTGGGCACCACGCCCAGCGTAACGCTCACGTGCTTCTCTACCGGGATGATGCCGCGCACCTGCCGAACGGTGGAGGGGTGCCCGGAGCCCACCATCGCCTCCTGCAGGTTCTTGACGTCCACCACGTCGGCTCCACCCTGCTCAGCCTCCAGCGCCTCGTCCACGTCCTGCACGCTGACCATCAGCAGCATTCCGGATGCGAAGTTGTCGTTGCCCGTCAGCCATGCCGTCCGCGATTGTGGGTCCGTCGGCCTGGCATAGACCGGGCGGGGACTGTATACCGGCCTGTCCTCGCTCCTCAAAACCGTTCTTTCCGACCGAACGATCTCTGGAACCCGCGGCTTCAGCGGCTCCAGTTCCTCTCGAAGCTGCGCCTTCTCCTCTTGAGTCATATCCAGCAGCGGCAGGCGTGGCGGACCCGCGGCCATTCCCATCAGTTCACCCCAGTGCTTCACCAGAGAGACCGGAAGTGCGCCGTTGTACTTGTCCACCGTCCGGGTCCACCAAGCGTCGGACAGCTCGTTCAGGCGTCGCAGGTGCTGGTCGTAAAATGCCTCGTCCAGGTCTCCCTGGCAGGCCCGTTCGATCCAGCGCACGTAGTTGTTGGCGCCGGGGATGTCGAACCGCCAGTCGGACGTGTTGGCGAACATCACCTGCTGGTTGATTCCCAGCTCCTGCCCCTTGAAGTAGATCCACTCGTCGGGGGTGCTGATGACCGAGTCTTGTCCGAGGGTCAGGTGCGCCTCGATGGAGAGCTGCTGGTTGAAGCTGGCTTCCTTCACTCCCACCACGTTGGGCAGGCTGCACAGCCTTTCCAGTCCGTTGACGCTCATGGTGATGCCAAACTGCGGCGAGTTGTAGAACATGATGGCTAGGTTGGTATGCTCCGCCAGCAGCCTGACGTACTCCACCACCTGGTCCTCGACCTTCGTCACCATGAAAGGCGGAGCGACGATGAGCAGGTCGTATCCCAGCCGTTCCGCGTGGGCGGCCAGCGACAGCATCTCCGGCCCCGACGTGTGCGTCACATGCGCCCCGATGGGCCAACCACCGTTGGCTTCCTCGGCCACGGTCTCCATCACATCCAGCCGTTCCTCGTGGGTCAGGCTCCAGAACTCACCCATGCCCCAGGTGCAGCCAGCCCCGACAGTGCCCAGGCTGCGCACGTGGCGCATGTTCCTCCGCATTCCCTCCCGGTCAAAGCGGTTGTCAGGGGTGAAGGGCGTGATTAGCGTAGTCCACTGCCCCTTCAGTGTCTCCCAAGCCCACTCCTGGGCCTCATGCTTCTTGTAAGTTGCCATAAACTGCACTCCCTCACGAAGCGTTATAGACCTGAATTCTCTGGAAGTAGAGAATGCCTTGAGTCTTTTGCCATTAGCAGGAAAGCCATTTTCTGCTTGGTGCCGCGCCGACACTCCTTGCACCAGCAATCGCCGCAGAAATAATCACCATTGTCGGCACAGCCCATACAGCACCCATGGTGTTCGCAGTTTTCCAGTCCGCTACATGGACATATTTCTTTTTCACCCAGCGGCTCCATTGACAACATAGCGGTTACTCACCAACTGCTCCGTTTGCGAGCTTCGTCGGGCAGCAAGGCCAGCACTTGGGAGATGGCCCTTTGAATACCCGGCAAAGCGACCTCAACGTCTGCCACTTCTAACTCCGGATGGTAGAAGTTGTCATGGAGGCTTTTCGCCGACAAAAAATTGTTGGGAAAGCTCCGGTCACCGATCTCCGCGCCGAGGTTTCTGGCGAAGTTCAGGAGGCTGCGATGGCCTGCAATCACCGAGCCGCGCCAAGAGTCAACGGCGTGTACAGACTGGGTAATGCTGCCCCAGAGCAATTCGCCGGCCTTGCTTGGCTCATCCTTTTGCAGCGCCTCCAGAGCGTTGTCCATGTACTGGCGGCAATGCATAAGGTGATTCCTGGTTGCCTCTATGTCAGGTGCGGGAGTGATCATTGGGTTGCTCTCTGTTCAGGCAGCACAGTCGAAATTCATGCAGGGGCGCAAGGATATACGCCCCTGCATTTCCAAGTCAATTGGAGCCTACTCCTCGTCCCCGTACTGCGTCTTCAGCGAGTCCACCACCGTTGGGTCGGCCAGCGTTGTCGTGTCCCCCAGCGCGCGGCCCTCGGCGACGTCGCGCAGCAGGCGGCGCATGATCTTGCCGCTGCGGGTCTTGGGCAACTCGGCGGCGAAGTGGATGTCGTCGGGGCGGGCCATCGCTCCGATCTTGCCGGCCACATGTGCCTTCAACTCGGTGATAACGTCGTCGGACATGTCCACGCCGTCCTTCAGCGTAACGAACGCGACGACGGCCTGCCCCTTCACCGCGTGATCCTTTCCGATGCACGCGGCTTCGGCCACCTTATGGTTGTCCACCAGCGCGCTCTCTACCTCCATGGTGCCGATGCGGTGGCCCGACACGTTGATCACGTCGTCCACCCGGCCCAGCAGCCAGAAGTAGCCGTCCTCGTCCATTCTGGCGCCGTCGGCGGTGAAGTAGATGCCGTCGTAGCGGGACCAGTAGGTGTCAATGAAGCGATCCGGATCCCCGTACACCGTGCGCAGCATCGAAGGCCACGGCCTCTTGACTACCAGGTATCCGCCACTGCCGGGACCGACGGGATTGCCGTCGCCGTCCAGGATCTCCGCCTCGATCCCTGGGAATGCCTTGGTGGCCGAACCGGGCTTCAGCGTCGTCAGTCCCGGAATCGGCGCGATCATGATGCTGCCCGTCTCCGTCTGCCACCATGTATCCACGACCGGGCAGCGGCCCCCGCCGATGTGCTGCCAGTACCACACCCACGCCTCCGGGTTGATCGGCTCCCCGACCGTCCCCATCAGCCGCAGCGTGGACATATCGTGCTTCTGCGGATAGCTCTCGCCCCAGCGCATGAAGGTGCGGATGGCCGTGGGCGCGGTGTACAGGATGCTCACCCCGTACTTGGCCACCACCGCCCAGAAGCGGTCGCGGTCGGGGTAGTCGGGTGAGCCCTCGTACATCACCGTCGTCGCGCCGTTGGCCAGCGGTCCATAGACGATGTAACTGTGCCCGGTCACCCAGCCAATGTCGGCGGTGCACCAGTAGACGTCGTCCTCTTTAAGGTCGAAGATCCACTTGGCCGTGGCTGAACGCCCAGCAGGTAGCCGCCGGACGTGTGGACGATGCCCTTGGGCTTGCCGGTCGTGCCGCTGGTGTAGAGCAGGAACAGCATGTCCTCGCTGTCCATCGGCTCCGGCTCGCAGGTCATCGGCTGCCCTTCCATCAGGTCGTGCCACCAGATGTCGCGGCCGTCCACCATTTTGTCGTCGGCACTGCCAGTGCGCCGCAGCACCACAACCTTCTCGATGCTGGGCGCGCCGTCCAGCGAGTCATCGGCGTTCTGCTTGAGGGCACGATGCCGCCGCGCCGGTAGCCGCCGTCGGCGGTGATCAGGATCTTGGACTCGGAGTCGTTGATGCGGTCCCGCAGCGACTCAGCGCTGAACCCGCCGAAGACGACGCTGTGGGGCGCGCCGATGCGAGCGCAGGCCAGCATGGCGATGGGCAGTTCCGGCGTCATGGGGAGGTAGATGGTCACCCGGTCGCCCCTTCTGAACGCCCAGGCTCTTCAGCCCGTTCGCGAACTGGCACACCTCGCGCAGCAGGTCACCGTAGGTGTATACCTTCCAGTCGCCCGGCTCACCTTCCCAGACGATGGCGGCCTTGTTGCGCCGACCATTCTTGACGTGCCGGTCGATGCAGTTGTACGACACGTTGAGCTTGCCCCCGATGAACCACTTGGCGAACGGGGCGTCGCTCCAGTCCAGCACCGTGTCCCACTTCTGGAACCAGTCCAACTCCTCGGCGAGTCCCGCCCAGAACCCCTCCGGGTCGGCGGCGGCCTTCGCATAGATGTCGGGGTCCGACAGATTGGCCTTGGCCACGAAATCGGCGGGAGGCGGAAAGATCCGCTCTTCCTGAAGCAGTGCGTCGATGCCTCCGGTGTTCTGGACCATCACTACCCTCCTGACCTGATTACTTCGCGCTCCAACTCTGAGCTACGGAATCGAGTTCATCTGTATATCGCTGTGGCCCCATAGTATAAACGCTGGGGAACCTGTCCAGCATTCTCGTCATGGCCAGCATTGCCGGGCTGATCCACCCGATGGTTTCCAGGATAGTTTCGTGTTGATCAGGCAGGTCTATCAGATGCCAGATCGGCTCGTGGTGGAAGACCCGGTTGCGTAGCCACCGGATGCGATTCGAGTTGCAAGTGAAGGTTCTTGAAGGAGCGTTTGACTCCGGGGTGCCGGGGTATCGTTTTTTCTAGGCTTGGCTCCGTAAAGCGTCCGGGGCGCATTCTACCACCCGCTGCAGCCTCGGCAGCCGTTCCCGCCCGACCTCCCCCGTGCCTTGCCCCCATGGCGTAGAATCCACTAACCATGGATTCACGCCGACTCACAGCCAACGACCTCCCCAGCCACACCCGCACCGCGAGCTGCCCGCTTGACCGCCGCTAGCGCCGCTGCCGGCCCTCTCGTCCACGGCGGGCGCTGGCACGATGTGCTGATCGGCGCCACCTCCGCGTTGGCAATGTTCCTCGCCGCGCTGGATTTTTCCGTCAACGTCGCCCTGCCCCAGATCGCCGCCGACCTCGACGCCCACCTGCAGAGCGTGCAGTGGGCGCTGGTGGTGTTCATGGGCATCAGGGCCAGCCTGGTGCTGGGAACGGGCAGCTTCGCCGACCGCTTCGGACTGCGTCGCGTCTACCTCTGGGGTGGAATGGCCTACCTGGTCTCCATGTTCTGTATCGCCCTGTCTCCCGATCTTGCCTCGGTGGTCGGCTTCAGAGTGCTGCACGGCATTGGCACGGCCTGCATGTACGCGGTGGCCCCGGCCATCGCTGCCCACCTCTTTCCCCCGCACCGTCGCGGATTGAGCATGGGGTTCACCACGGCGAGTCAGGCCCTCGGCATGGTGGGCGGCACCATCGGCGCAGGGCTGCTGGTTGGGGCCGGCTGGTTGGGTTGGGATTTGGGAGTGGGTGTTCTGGGGCCGGGTCCCGTTTATGGCAGTCGCCTTGATTCTGGCCTGGTTCTTCCTTGACAGGGACCCTCCGATATCAAGGCAAGGGCCCGCTTTTGATCTGAAAGGGACTATGACTCTTGCCGCGGGACTGATTCTTCTCATAATCGGTACGCGGCTGGGACGGGATATAGGCTGGGTAGCCTGGCAAGTCCTGACAATGCTGGTGCTGACGCCCATACTGCTGGGCCTTTTCTGGCGAATCGAGCGAACTGCCACCTGGCCGGTGCTGCCCCTTGAACTGTTTCGCAATCGGGGGTTCGTCGTCGCCAGCGCCTCCTCGGGCTTCGTTTTCCTCTCCGCCTTCGTGGTCTGGTTCATCTTTCCATTTTATGTCGCCGATACATTGGGGGGAGGGCCGGAAGTTCTGGGAGCGTTGTTGGCCACGGCCTCCATTTGCGGCGTGGCCATGTCCCTGCTGGGAGGTTGGCTGAGCGACCGCATCGGCACTCGAATCGTGGGCACCGTGGGCATGCTCGTCATCGCGGGCTGGGCTGGCCATGATGGGGCTGCTGGACGCGGAATCGTCTCTGGCCGAGGTGGCTTTGTGGGTGTCTCTCACCGGAACGGGGAACGGGTTGGTACAGGCGGCCTGCTATTCCCTGGTGATGAAGAGCGTTAACCCGGAAAGGTTCGGGACCGCTGGCGCGATGATCTCGCTGACCCAGGCGCTGGGCTCCATATCCGCCATAGTAATCATCGGCGGAATATTCGCGGCCCGCGGCGACCATCACCTGGCCCAACTGGCTGGCAGCGTGGGAGCGGAGGCCACCGCATTCCTGAAAGCCTACCGCGACGTTTTTATGATCGGTGCCGCAGTCGGCGTCGTCGGAGCGCTGGTGGCCGCGCTTGGCCGCCCTCCGGCTACGGTGCCCGGCTCCCGCTGAGCGGCCGCCTGCCGAGCGAGCTCTACCGCCACGCAGTCTGAACGAACCCCTTCCGGGTCACAGCATTCCCCTGTCAGCGTGCCGTCTAACGGGCCGCTTGCCGACTCCCGGCCAGTGGGAGTGCCGCGTTCCGGCCGCGAGGATGGGGGAATCTACCAGCGCTTGTAAGGAAGGAACTTCCCCGACATGGTGACCTTCACGCGGTCGCCGTGCTCGTGGTCCTCCTCCCTGTCCACGTTCATGGTGAAGTCTATGGCGCTCATGATGCCGTCGCCGAACTTCTCGTGGATCACGTCCTTGAGCGGCATGCCGTAGACCTGCATGATCTCGTAGAACCTGTAGATCAGGGGATCGGTGGGCACCACCGGGCCCAGCCCTTTCACCGGGGGATGGGTGAGTTCCTCCGCGACTTCCGGACTGACGCCCAGTATCTCCGCCAGCTTGAGGGCCTCGTCCTGCGGCGCGCTGGCCTGTCCGTACAGCAGCGCAGCCACCCACACCTCGTCTCGCCCGATGGCCTCTCCCAGGTCGGCAAAGCTAAGCCCGGCAGCCCTTTTTTGCGGCCAGCAATATCCGCGTAGTTTCTTCCACTTCCAACGTGCCCTCCGCCTGCAACACTGACTGGTGCGTACTTGACGGCGAAGTATATCAGCCAGCCAAGACCGTGCGAAAAGCCCAGGTCAATCCCGATTTGTTCTTCCATTCCTGTCGCTGACAGCCGGGGGCGGTCTCGTTCATCAGCGGCTTGCCGTCATTTGGGTCTTGGTCTCATCTGGGTCTTGTATCTTCGCCAACATCGACTGCCCGGTGGATGTTTTGCTGACAGTTGCCCATTGCAAAGCCTCATGCGACCCCCTTACCATGAAATCAATGACGAGACATCAAGCTACGACAACCCTGAAAAGCCACCCCACAACCTGCAAAATGTCCGAAATGATCGGAAATGATCGGTTTTGATCGGAAAATCAGTAATTTTCTGAACCAGAGGATGCCTCAAGAACTTGGGACGACTCCGCAGGCCAAGTGAAATTTCACGCTCGTCCACTCTGCCGGACAGGCCTGCTGAGGCCGCCGTCGAGGATCGAGTAGACGAAAAAGGCATCGAGCCGGTTACTCCCGTTGTTGACCGTTTTCGCCGCTCTTGCTACACTTCACATTCGGTTCGGGCGGTTAGCTCAGTTGGTTAGAGTACTTGCTCGACACGCAAGAGGTCAGTGGTTCGAGTCCACTACCGCCCACCATCAGGTAAGGCTCCTGTTTTCGCCCAGCCTGTCAACGTCGGCCTCCGCGTGGTTCCAGATTGCCAAGCAGCCATGCCCATATCGGTTATCAGGCATGGCCCGTCGATTCCATCAGCCATAACTTTATAGAGACTCGACAATGAACGCTGCTGAAATATACAAAACAGAAGCCAATCCGCGTATTCCCCGGTTCTCCGCCGGCGATACCGTCCGCGTCAACTTCCGCATCCGCGAGGGTGAGCGCGAGCGCATCCAGGCCTTCCAGGGTGTCGTAATTCGGCTGAACAATGGCAAGGGCCCAGCCGCCAACTTCACCGTCCGCAGGATTTCCGCGGGCATCGGGATCGAGCGCATATTCCCCATGCATTCGCCCCTGATCGAGTCTCTGGAAATCACCCGCTATGGCTCGGTGCGCCGTGCCAAGTTGTATTACCTGCGTGGACTGCAGGGCCGCGCCGCTCGCATCAAGGAAATGAACCCGGCACAGCGACGCCGCGCCACCGAGTCCCAGGCCGCTGCCGCCGCCCGCCGTGAGGAGGCAGCCCTCGCCGCTGCCGAAGCCGAAGCTCTGGAACAGGCCGCCGCAGAGGCTGAGGCCGAAGCGGACGCCGCAGAAGCCGTGGCCGAAGAGACGGCCGATGCCGAGCAGCCCGCAACTGAGGATGCTCCCGAGGCAGAGGAACCAGCGGCCGAGGCCGACGAACAACCGGTATCCGAAGAGCAATCGACGGACGGCGAGGCTGACGAACAGCCCGGGGAATAACGCCCTCTCTCGTTTCGCCCCGTTTCACCCGGTAATCGTCCCAGACACCGAATCATCCTCTCCGGCACTGATGACCCGTGGATGACCTGAGGTACGCGGACGTGGCGGTGGATTCACCCGTAGGCCACGCCCGCGCCTTTACCTACAGCATCCCCCAGCGCATCTCCGTTCAGCCCGGTCAATTGGTCTGGGTACCCTTCGGCTCCCAGACTCTCCAGGGCATCGTGGTGGAACTGTCCGCCGCACCCCCCGAATTCGCCACTCGCGACATCATTCAGGCCGTCGACCCCGCGCCCCTGCTCGGACCTGAACACATCGCCCTTGGGCAGTGGCTCAGCCGCCACTACCGCTCCCCCTTCTTCGCCGCCCTCTCGCTGATGTTGCCCCCGGGATTTGAGTCCCGCGTTCGGTCTAGGGTGTTTCCTACGCCGAATGTCGAGGATGAGAGCAGCGAACTGCGCGAGGAGTCGGCCGCAGCCATCGAAGCCCTGAGAGACAAGGGCAGAATGTCCCAGGACGACTTCGTGAAGCTGCTGGGACGTCGTGGCGCCCGCGAGCTGAACCGGCTGGTGGAGAAAGGCGCGGTCCGCCGAGAGATAACCATCCCCCGCCCTCAGGTCGCCCCCAAGTACGAGCCCTACCTAATCCCCGCACGATCCGCCGCCCAGGTTCCCGACAGGTTGCATCCACGCCAGCAGGCCCTGCTGCACGCCGTCCAGCAACCCCCCTGCCACATGCCCCTGGCTGAGGCGAACCAGGAGTACGGCATCAGGGCAGCCGAAGCGCTGTGGGAAAGGGGGCTCGTCGCCCAGGAATGGTGGCGCACCTCGGGTGGGCCTCCCCCTGTCGCCTTCGCCGGAGGCGCCCCTGGCCCAGGTCGGCTCACCCTCACTCCAGAACAGCAGGCGGCCCTTGATGAGATATCCTCCGCCCTCGACGCGTCATTCGGCGCCCCCTCTATGCAGGAACCCGCACCGCTCTCCAGCCGTACCTTCCTCCTCCACGGCGTGACCGGTAGCGGAAAGACCGAGGTCTACCTGCGGGCCATCGCCCACGCCCTCCGCCTGGGCAGAAGGGCAGCGTTCTTGGTGCCCGAGATCGCCCTCACCCCCCAGACGCTGGAGCGTGTCAACGCCTGGTTCTCGGGACGGGTCGCTCTGCTCCACAGCAAGCAGACAGCCCGCCAGAAGTTCGACCAGTGGTGGGACATACGCGGCGGGGCCTACGACGTCGTTGTCGGCCCGCGCAGCGCCCTGTTCGCGCCGGTCGAAAACCTCGGCTTGATAGTCATAGACGAGGAGCACGAGTGGACCTACAAGCAGGACGAATCAGCGCCGCTGTATCACGCCCGCACCGCAGCCCTGGAACTGGCACGCAACACCGGGGCCGTGGTGGTCCTGGGCAGCGCAACACCCTCGGTGGAGACCTACTACCACGCCTCTCGCGGGCGGGTCCGCCTGCTGCCCCTTCCCTACCGCGTGGTGGCGGGTGAAGCTCCGGGCGGCTCCCCGGTACCGGCCCGCGCTCCCCTGGCCCGGGTCGAGGTATGCGACATGCGTCGAGAGTTGCGGGAGGGCAACCGCAACATCTTCAGCCGCGCCCTTTCCGACGCCCTGCGTCAGTGCCTCGCCGACGGCAACCAGGCCATCCTCTTCCTGAACCGGCGCGGCTCATCCTCGATAGTGCAATGCCGGGACTGCGGGCACGTTGCCTCCTGCCGACGCTGCACCACCTCGCTGACCTGGCACTCCGGCCCAGCCCGTCTGCTGTGCCACCAGTGCAACTATTCGCGGCGCCCGCTGGAACAGTGCCCCGAGTGTCGCAGCGCCCGCATACGTCAGCTGGGAATAGGGACCGAACGCGTCGTCGCCGAGGTCAGTGAACTCTTCCCCGGCGTCCGGGTCGACCGCCTGGACTCCGACGCCGCTCGCTCCGCAGGCGCCGCCGAGGACGCCGTGGCACGGTTGGCCTCCGGCGAGACCCAGGTGCTGGTGGGCACCCAGATGGTCGCCAAGGGGTTGGATGTGCCCAACGTGGCATTGGTGGGCGTGGTCCTGGCCGACATTGGGCTCCACGTCCCAGACTTCCGGGCGGGTGAGCGGGCCTTCAGCCTGCTATGCCAGGTCTCCGGACGGGCAGGCCGAGGCGACATTCCCGGCCGGGTGTTCGTCCAGACCTACAACCCTGACCATTACGCAATCCAGGCCGGTGCCGGGCAGGACTACAGGGAAATGTATGACCAGGAAATCGAGTCCCGCCGGCAGTTGGGGAACCCGCCCTTCAACCAGCTTGCCCACGTTGTCTACCAGAACTCCGACGCCGATGCATGCCAGCGCCAGGCCGTTGCCATTGCCGACGAGCTGAAGCGCAGGGCAACCGCTCAGGGTCGCACCGACATCGATGTCACAGGCCCGGCCCCTGGTTTGCCGCCGCGCCTTCGAGGCCGCCACCGCTGGCGCCTGCTGCTTCGCGGACGCAATCTGCCCGAGTTCCTGGATGATGTGGACTTCCCCGCGGGTAGCACCGTCGACATCGACCCCGCGCACGTCACCTGACCGAGATATTCCGCTGCCCCAACCGGATCACGCCTGCTAAACTGGCACCGGCAATCTAGCTTCCACAGAGGACCGTCAATGCAGATCACGCCCCACATCTACAGCACCCACATCGAGGAGGACCCCACCACCTTCGGGGCGATGCACCCCGGCGGCACCCAGATATACTTCGTTGGCGACCCTTCGGATCACATGGTGGTGGTTGATTCGGGAGAGCCGTACCGCGCGTGGACTCGCCAGATCCTCGCCTACCATACCGAGCTCGGACGCCCGCGCATTTCAGCCATACTGATCACCCACGGCCACGGCGACCACATCGGCGGCCTCGACCGTCTGCAGGAGAGCTTCGACTGCGAGGTGCGCTGCCACCCCGACCTAGAGCCGCGCCTCACGCATCAGCTGGGGAAGGGCATTGTACGCCCGCTTCAGGAGCAGGAGATTGCTCACTCCGGCGGTGGAGTAACCCTGCAGGCCTGGCACACCCCCGGCCACGAGGACGACCACATCTCCTACCACATGCCCGCCGATGGAGCGGTCTTCAGCGGCGACACCATCCTGGGCAACTCATCGTCCAGCGTCCGCAACCTCAAGCAATACATGCAGTCGCTGGAGACCTTGGCGCATCTGAACCCGGATATCCTCTGTCCCGGCCACGGGCAAGTCATCCAGGATGGCGCCGCCCGCATTGCCTGGTATGCTCGCCACCGCAACGAGCGCGAGGAGCAGGTGCTTGCGGCGCTCAGCGAGGGTGCGGGATCCATCGACGAGATCGTCACAGCAGTCTATCCCCGCGACCTCGCCGACAACCTGCGCTCTGCCGCTGCCCGCAACGTGCGCACACACCTGCAGAAGCTCGTCGAAGAGGGCCGTGTTGCCGAAGCCTCGTCCACCTATGCCCTGAAAGGCGGGTAGTCTCCCGCAGGGTCGGCTACGATCGGCGCATGCGTTACAGCGGAGGCCCCGGCTGTGGCCTGGTGGCAGGCGTCTGGTTGACGGCCATCGGCGCAGTCCTGATCTCCCCCGTTGGCGAGTGGATCATCAAAGGCGTCGGCTGGCTCACACTGGGCCTGGGCGTCCTAGTGATCCTGATGACCATCGTCATCTGGCTCACCAGCCGGAAACGGGGCGGTCC